TGAACAACCAAGGTGACAAGCCAACTCAAAAAGAAAGAGAAAAATCTCCAGAAAATAAGCTTAAGGACATAGAAATATGCAACTTAAATGACAGAGAATTCAGGATGGTACTTCTGAGAAAACTCAAAAAGATCCAAAACAACTCATATCAACAATTCCAGGAATTGAAAAAACAACTAGATGAGTAGGATAAGTTTTTTTTAGCAAGGAGATTGAAACACTGAAAAGGAACCAAATAGAACTTCTAGAGATGAAGAACACACTGCAAGTGATGAAAAACGAAAAAGCAAGCTTGGGAAATAGAGTCGACCAAAAGGAGGAAAGGATCAGTGATATAGAGGACAGAAATCTAGAAATAAATCAGAAGGAAAAAGAGAGAAACCAAAAAATAAAAAATCATGAAAGAGAAATACAAGAACTACCTGATATCATAGGAGGGGAAATATAAGAACAATGAGCATTCTTGATGGGGAGGAAAAGGAGCAGGGATTAGAAGCATTTTCAGACACATAGTTGAGAATTTCCCAAATCTAAGGAGCTTGGAATTCAAGAAGTCAACAGAACACTCAATTATCTCAACCCAAAAAGGCCTTCTCTAAGACACATTGTATTAAAATTAACAAAAATCAATGACGAAGAAAGAATTTTCAGGGCAGCCTGGGAAAAGAAGACAGTAACCTGTAAAGGAAGACCCATTAGATTATTGTCAGATTTCTCAGCACAAACCTTATAATTCAGAAAGGAGTGGAATCAAATATTCAAACTATTAAATGAAAGGAACTATCAGCCAAGAATAATGCATCCAGCAAAGCTCTTCTTTAGATATGAAGGAGAAATAAAGACCTTTCCAGACATACAAAAATTGAGAGAATTCTCCAATACATGGCCTGCATTATAGGAAATACTGAAAGGGGTTAGCTCAATGACAAAATGACAAAAAAATACATCTATGAGTAAGGCAACAGGCAGGAAGAGAGCAGAGGAGTGCAACCCTTACCAAGAACAGGACATTATAAGCTTAAACAATATGTAGATATTTGCTATTGCAAGATAGTAATGAATGTTCCGCATACATAGAGACAAATTGAGACAACAGTGACTGAAAAGGGGAGAATTCAAAGATCCAAATTCACAAAGGGGTATGGAGATAAGGCACATGCAGAAGAAAATATATATATACACACACACACACACACACACTATATTATATATATTATATTACACATATAATATATATAACTATCCTTGACATATTCATAATCGTAACCATGAGCCAAAGATCCAGAACTGAAGTATATAACATGAAACAAGAAGGACCAAAGTGAAAACTCACAAAACTAAACCAAAATAAACAAAAAAAGACACACAAGGACAAGGAAGCAATAAAAATACCAAGCTACCAGAACGCAAAACATAAAATGGTTATAGGAAAACCTCATGTTTGAATAATCACCCTAAATATAAATGGACTGAACTCAGCAATAAAAAGGCACAGAGTTGCAGATTGGATTGAAAACAAAATGCAACCATATGCTGCCTCCAGGAGAAACATCTCAGTTTCAAAGACAAATACAGACTCACAGCGAAAGGAAACATGCATCAAGAAGACATAATACTTATTAATATCTATGTTCCCAATCAGGGAGCCCTCAAATATATAAAGCAATTACTAACAGAATTAAAGGGAGAAACAGACCATAGTAGGGGACCAAAATACCCCACTGTTGGATATGGATGGATAATCCAAAGAGAAAATCAAGGAAATAACATCCTTAAATGACACATTAGACCAACTGGACATAATTGAAATTTACAGAGCCTTTCATCACAAAACAGCTGCTTGCTTATACATTCCTCTCTAGTGCACATGGAACATTCTCAAGCACTGACCTCATACTGGGACACAGAGATAACCTCAACAAATATAAGAGGGTTAAAATCATACCAACCGTATTCTCTAATGGTAGTGCTTTGAAGCTGGAGATCAACTGTAAAAAGAAAGAGGGAAGAACCGCAAATACATGGAGATTAAACAACATGCTACTGAAGAATGACTTGGTTGGAGAAGAAATAAAGAGATCAAGAGATACAAAAATCAAGAGATACAAAGATCAAGAGATACAAAGAGATCAAGAGATACTATCATCATTTGTTTCTATGTATCTCTTGATTTCAATAACATATCAAAACTTTTGGAGTACAATAAAAGCAGTCATAAGAGGAAAGTTCATATCATTACAGGCCCATCTCAAAACAAGAATGAGCTCAAATAAACAACCTAACGCTTCTTCTTAAAAAACTAGAAAAGAAGAACAAATGAAGCCTAAAGTCAGCAGAAGGAAAGAAATAATCAAAATTAGAGCAGAAATAAATGAAATTGAAAACAAAACAAAACAAAAACAATAGAAAAAATAAATGCAAGAAAAGAGCTGGTTCTTTGAAAAGGTTAATAAAGTTGACAAACCCCTGGCTAGACTCACTAAAGAAAAAAGAGAAAGGACACAAATAAACAAAATCAGGGATGAAAGAGGAGGAAAGACGACAGACACTGCAGAAATACAAAGGATCATACAAGAATACTATGAAAAATATGTAAAACCAAATTTAGTAATGTAGAGGAAATGGACAAGTACTTAGAAAAATACAGCCTTCCTAGACTGAATCAAGAAGAACTGGAAAATCTAAATAGACCGATCAGCAGTATGGAAATAGAAACAATCATCAAAAACCTACCAAGCAGTAAAAGTCCAGGACAAGATGGCTTCACCAGTGAATTCTACCAAACATTCAAAGAAGATTTAATACCTATTCTCCTCAAACTCTTCCAAAAAAGTCAAAGAGGAGTCAGTATTTCCTAACTCATTTTATGCGGCCAATATTACCCTGATACCAAAACCTGGTAGAGATAACACGAAAAAAAGAAAACGACAGACCAATATCTCTCATGAACACAGATGCAAAAATCCTAAATAAGATACTAGTGAACAAAATACAGTAACAAATTAAAAGATTATACACCACGATCAAGTGGGCTTTGTCTCAGAGGCACAGGGATGGTTCAACATAGCAAATAGATTAATGTGATACTCCACACAAATTAAAAAATAAGAATCATATGATATAATAGATGCAGAAAAAGCTTTCGATAAGATACAGCATCCATTGATGATCAAAACATTTAACCAAATTGGTATAGAAGGAAAGTACCTTAACATAATAAAGGCCATATATGACAAACCCTCAGCCAACATTATACTTAATGGTGAAAAACTAAAAACCTTCCAAGATCAGGAACAAGGCAAGGCTGTCCACTATCGCCACTGTTACTCAATATAACACTGGAGGTCCTAGTGAGTGCAATCAGGCAAAAGAAAGATATAAAAGGCATCCAAATAGGAAACGAAGAAGTCCAACTGTCACTATTTGCGGATGACATGATTCTTTACATAGAAACCCCTAAAGACTCCACAAGAACACTACTAGAAATAAGCAAATAATGTTTCTGGATACTAAATCAATGTTCAAAACTCCATAGCATTCCTAAAATCTAATAATAAATTTTCAGAAAAAGAAGTGGAAAAAATAATTCCTTTTGCAATTAGAAGAATAAAATACCTAGGAATAAACCTAATGAAACATGTGAAGGACCTATATAATGAAATCTGTAAGGCCCTATTAAAAGAAATGGAAGAAGATAAAAGAAGTGGAAAGATATTCTGTGTTCTTGGATTGGAAGAATCAACATAGTTAAAATGACCATATTACCTAAAGCATTATACAGATTTAATGCAATCCCCATCAAAATCTCATCGGCATTTTTTAAAGAAACAGAAAAAAAAAATCATCAGATTTGTATGGAAGTAAAAAAGATCCTGAATTACCAAAGCCATCTTGAGAAAAAAGAACAAGGCTGGAGGCATCACTCTGCCTGACTTCAAATTATACTGCATAGTGACAATAATGAAAATGACATGGTATTGGCAGGAAAACACACACAAACCAAGGGAAGAGAATTGAGAATCCATAAATAAACTCATGTTTATATGGGCAAATAATTAGCTGCGGTAAAAGGGGTCAAATATGTGGTGACAGAAAGAAATCTATAGGAGGGGAATACACAATGCAACATATTTATGCCTTACTGTTAAATTGTGCACCTTAAAGTTCCTGGGTTTCATTAACCAATGTCACCAAAAAATACATATAAATTAAAAAAATTTTGATAAAAAAATATGGGCAAAATCTTAACATGCACTTCTCAAAAGAAGATATTCAAAAAGCCAAGAAATACCTAAAAGGGTCTTAACATTGTTAGCAACTAATGAAATGGAAATTATACCTATAATAAGATACCATTACCCATTAGAACCAGGCTTTGGTGCTTTACTACCCCGTTGAAACTGCTCTAGTAAAGTTGACCTGTGTCATCTCCATCCCCTAACCCAATGGATGCTTTTCAGTTCTTATGTCATTTGAACCTGTTGACACTTCTTGAAATGCTTGGCTCTAAGACGGGGTAGGGAGCAGAGTTTAATTGTGATGAGAATTTGGAGTTTAAAAGGAGCATCCAACGAGTTGGCATCATCATGTCAACTGTTATGCCAGCAGGGTTTTTATAAATTTATTTTTCAATTAAGGTTGACAGTCAATATTATATTAGTTTCAGGTGTAGAGCATAGTGGTTAGACATTTATATATCTTACAAGGTGATCTCCCCAATAAATCTTGTACCCAACTGACATGATAGTTATATTATTGACTATAATCCTTATATTGTACCTTACATTCCTGTGACTATTTTGTAGCAAGAGTAGGGTTTTTAAGGGTACTATTTCAAGGTCTAACCCTTAAACGTTCTGATCAAAAAGTGGCACATTATATCCAAATAAGTCTCTTCTAATTGTTATTAAATTTCACCATTAAAATCCAATCAGAAATGGTCATTTTAACCATTTGTCAAATTATTCATTTATAATAGGAGATAGTTCATTCACTCAATATCCCCTTCCCAATATTAAAGATACTTTATTGTATACGTTGTAAGAGGGGTATTTGATTTTCTTTCCTTCAGTCTTCATTGAAGCATAGCTCATCATGTCTTGTCCATTTTGGATATCAGGTCCATGGTCTGTTAGAGCTTTCTCGTTTTCAGGTCCACAGCCTCTGAATTCCCACTTTGATTCCAGTATTCTCTTTTATTCCCAGAACTTCCAAGCCTTCCTTTGAGGACTTGAGAGTCCTTAGCTATTTCCTCTCTCTTTACTCCAATGTTCCATGAGGCTATATACACAGAACTTTTTACCATTATGACCTTTACTTTGGTGCCACGGTGAAAATGGAACTTCTCTCTGAGGCTTGTGTTCTTCTCCTCTATGACTTGGACACAAGTCTAGATATTCCTGAATATGTTTTCCACTTATATGAAAATTCTATTACCTCATTTAAATGAAACAGAGGGTGAAGGCAGTGAGGTGCTGGGTAACTTCTTTAAAATCTAGGCAGCATAAAAACTAATTCTCATGTTCTTAGATCCATGACCATCCCTCCTCTACCAATGTATATCTGGTACCTAGGGTGATTCCTGGCATATAACAAGTGTCCAATAACTTACAAGAAAAGTAGGTTTTTCCTGTTCATGAAAATATTATATGTTCACTGGAAAGAAACCATGGCTCTCAAAAGTTCAAATACTTAGTTTTACACCACACATGCTGCATTTTTCCCCCCTAGTCTTTCCTCCTACTTTACTTATCTATTTTTCCTTTTCTTCTCCATTCAAGTTAACCAACATTAACAGTATGTTGTATATTCTTCCATACTTGTTTCCATGCTCATCTAAATCACATATAGACATAAATACATAAATGGGTGTAATCATTTAACAAAAATGGAATCTTTACATATACATATCTGTAACAAAGCAATTACTTATCAAAACTTGTGAAAATATCTTGAAATAACTAGTATAGATATAACTCATTTAAAAAATTAATGCTATCCCATGTATCAGGATATATCACAATTCATCCAACCATTTCCCTATTAATGGCCATTTTGTCTCCAGTTGAATTTCTTTGCTGCTACAAACAATACTTAAACAAACATCCTTATTTATGTGTATTGTTATGCACTGATGTTGTTATTTATGTGGGACAGATTCTCAAAAGTGAGACTTCTTGGTCAAAGCCTTTTGAAATTTTAAAAATAAATACATATTTCTGCACGGCTGGTGAAAATATAAGTTGACATAACCTTTTGGAAAGCGTAGTTTCCCAAACTCCACTAGCAAAAGATCTATTAATTTTGCCAACTCCATGAAGAGGAAGTGATGTCTTACTGGATGATTTAATTTGCATTTCCCTGAGTACTATTTATGTTTATCATATTTTCATAGGTTAATGATTATTTGAAGTTGCTTTTCTATCAATAGCCCTCCAGTCCAAATGGGTTAAGGGCTTCAATATAAAAAACAAAATTATCAAAATCGTAGAAACACATTTAGGAGAATATGTGTAATCTCAAGATTAAGGAAACCTTTTTAACTAAAAGAGTAAATCAAGACTTTAAAAAGGAAAAGATGTTACTATAAAAATAAAAATTAAAAAAATATTTGGTGATTCCTTTTACTATATAAAGAGTATAAAGACAAATACTAGATTAAGAAAACCATTTGCAACACATACGACAAAAAATTAGTATCTAAAAAATATAAAAAGTACTTCCAGATTTATAAGACTGACAAATCAATAGAAAAATAGGCAAAAAATATATTGGCAATTCATTGAAAACAATCTGTTAAATGAAAAAGTATGAAATCTGGATGAAGGTTTTCATTTGTCCATTATCTTACTCTATTATGAATTTTCTTAGAACTTCTAAGATTTAATATGACTAAAAGCTTTTTCCACATCCATATGTTTACAGAGTCTTTTCTGTGCCTATTTTCTGGCAAATTGCTTCTGAAAGTCTTCCTACATTCATTAAATATACAGTTTATGATTCTTCTCATAGACACCTGGATGATTTATTCTCTATATTAACTGAGTTTCTCTCTGATGTATTCTTTGATGTACAGTAAGGCTTGAGCTACTCCTAAAGGCTTTTCCACATTCATTACATTTATAGGGTTTTTCTCCAGTGTGCATCCTCAGATGTACAGTAAAATCTGAGTTAGTTCTGAAGGCTTTTCCACATTCTTCACATTTATAGGGCCTCTCTCCAGTATGAATTCTCTGATGTAGAGTTAGCTGTGATAGAGTAATACAACCTTTTCCACATTCCTTACATGTATAGGGTTTTTCTCCAGTATGTGTTCTCCAATGCACTGTAAGGTATGAACCCCTCCTGAAGGCTTTTCCACAGACATCACATTTATAGGGTTTCTCTCCACTATGAATTTTCTGATGTTCTGTGACATGTACCATTTGGCTAAATGCTTTCCCACAGTCATTACATTTAAATGGTTTCTCTCCAGTATGTGTTCTCTGATGGGTATTAAATCCTGAGTTACTTGTGAAAACCTTCCCACATTCATTACATTTATAGGGTTTTTCTCCAGTATGTCTTCTTTGATGCACGGTAAGCTGTGATGTATTAGTGAAAGCTTTCTCACATTCATTGCATTTATATGGTTTCTCTCCAGTATGGGTCCTTTGATGTACAATAAGGTATGACTTAGTTCTGAACGACTTTCCACAATCACAGCATTTATAAGGTTTCACTCCAGTATGAATTTTCTGATGCTCTTTGAGATTTACCATTTTGGTAAATGCTCTCTCACAGTCAGTACATTTATATGGTTTCTCTCCGGTATGAATCCTCTGATGTACAGTTAAGTGTGATTTTATTCTAAAAGATTCTCCACATTCATTACATAGGTAAGGTTTCTCTTCAGTATGAATTCGCTGATGTATAATTAGAGATGAAGAACGCATGAAGGCCTTTCCACATTCATTACATTTATAAGGTTTCTCTCCTGTATGCATTCTGTGGTGTACGGTAAGGCATGAATAATTAATGAATGCTTTCCCACAGTCATTACATTTATAGGGTTTTTCTCCTGTATGAATTCTCTGATGTTCTGTGAAATTTGCTATACGATTGAATGCTTTCCCACATTCATTACATTCATAGGGTTTTTCCCCAGTATGAGTTCTTATATGTACAATCAGGCTTGAATTACTTCTATAGGCTTTTCCACATTCATTGCACCTAAAGGGTTTTTCTCCAGTATGAATTCTCTGATGAACATTAAAAATTGTGGTATTCTTGAAGGACTTCCCACACTCATTGCATTTATATGGCTTCTCTTCAGTATGAGTCTTCTGATGTACACTAAGATAGGACTTATTCCTAAAGGCTTTCCCACAATCATTACATTTGTAGGGTTTCTCTCCATTGTGAGTTTCTTGATGTCGTGCAAGTTTTGATTTATCACTAAAAGCTTTCCCACATTCACTACATTTATAGGGCTTCTCTCCAGTCTGAATTCTCTGGTGCTGATTAAGGCGGGCACACTGGCTAAAAGATTTTCCACAGACATTACATTGATAAGGTTTCTCCTTAGTATGAATTCTCTGATGTACTATAAGTGATGAAGAAGCAATAAAGGTCTTTCCACATTCGTTACATTTATAGGGTTTTTCTCCAGTGTGAATTTTTTTATGTTGACTAAGATATGAAGGCTGGCTGAACATTTTCCCACATTCGGTACATTTATAAGGTTTTTCTTTAGTGTGAGTTCTCTGATGTTGAATGAGTAATGATCTATAACGAAAAGCCTTTTCACATGCAGTACACTTATAGGGTTTTTCTTTATTACTGAATTTTTTTCCTAAAGTAAGTTCTAAAGTAGGCATTATGGCTTTGCTGCTTTCTGTATCCTTGCAATTCTTCTTCCCCAAATGGGTATTTGTATTCAAATCTAAATTCTCTGGGAAATTTTTCTGATGTGTTTGACATTTGCTGTGGGGCTCTTCTGTAATAACTACTGGTTCTGGAAAAAGAACAGACCCAAATCTAAAGCCTCTTTGACCAGTGGGAATTTTCCTGTGTGTAACTATTCTTTGGCTCTGACTCTCCTGACTATTTTGCAGTCTCAATATCCTGTCATTCCATTTCCATAATTCTCCAATTCTGGAGTCCCGTGGACCATTCTCTGTGAGTTTCTCTACTATGGTGTCCTGTGATAAGTCTTCAGTGATATCTTCTGTTGTTATGGCATTCTTGATTGCAAGTTTGGTCTCCAACTCTGTGGAGGAGAAAGAAAAATCAATGACTCCACTTCCCAACTTGGGGAGATCTTACTAAACTGAAAAATAAAAGGGTAAGTTGGGATGACAATGAATATGTGGTTTTAACTGCTTGCAAGTTGGCCCTGTTTTCTAGAAAGAAGGAGGTAGAGTTAAGGGAGGCTGGTTGAGCAAAGAACCAAAGTAGTAAATTTAAGTTTTTCTTCTACGAAAAAAAATAATTCATGGTAATACTACTTTTTTCATTCCCTTTAGAGTCAGCTTCTTTAGAGAGAATTCCTCTTAAGTTGTGACTACTTTGCTTCTCATTTACTCCACAAACCAGATATTTGTCCACAACTATACTTTCTATTTGTTCTCATTCTTTGTTGACAAGTTTTCTTTTCTTTTTTTTTTGGTGAGGGCATTCTCAAATTTACTTGTCATCGTAGCTTATTCAAGTCTTTGTACATACCTTTTAATAAAGCATTTATGGAAAAAGATACTGACTTTTCAGAAAGTAGGCTGAATAAGCTAGTCAAAATTAATATTTATAGTTATTGATATTTCAAATAGTGATAATTATCAAGAATAGTTTTATAACCAATTTATGGGTCTTAAGAACATTTCTGACAGTTTGTCAAAATTCCTTCTTGTATATGCATCTCAATATCTGACTTCTAAAAACACTTTGATACTTCTTTTATATTTCTAATTCATTTTTAGATAATAATACCTAAATATTTAAAAACAAATTGGATCAAAATCTTTTGTGGATAGTAGAATGGTTTTATGACTTTAAAACTCAAGATAAGTATAATTATCAGTGGATTCACAGGGCTAACAAAGAAGAAAACCCTGTAATTGAAAGATTAAACCCCAGCTCATTTAAATGTCTTAATGAATCAAGGTGACAGGATTGTTAGAGCCCCATATCCTAGCAGCCTACCAAAACCAAATATTAATCTTCTGTGGAAAAAGATTACATAATTCAGAACCTCAAATTATTATTATAGGTTTTCATACTCAATGCCTGACAATGAAAAGATTTAATAGACATACGAGGACATAAAAATCATGAGTGACAAGAACATAGACTTAGACATATTCATTTCCAAATACCAGTTTGACAATAACTGTATGTATTTAACTGCTTTGAGCTTCAGTTTCCTGCTATTAAACATATACATATATACTATATAGAGCTATTTTAAGGGTTACATTCAGTGAAATTATATAAATAAATTTCCTAGCAGAATGCCAGTAATAGAGTAGACATCTAATAAATTGTGATTGTTATTATCAATGTTACAATATAATTTTCTTTATGTATGGACCCAAGTTTCTTGGGGGAAAAATAAGTATCCTGTAGCCAATGTCTTTTGGCATGCCTCAAGATATGAGAAATCTGAGCACATTAAAGGTATTGAGATATTATTTGGTAAATTTATTTTAAAATGAGTAATAGCCCACATAACACAGAATAAACTTTGGGAACTTGGAGAAAACTTTTCCTCAGAGAAGTCATCCATTTGCTCTTCTGAATATGGAACCCATGCTGCAGAAAACAATATTCTATTAATTTCCAGTGGCACTAGAAGTTACCATAAAATAAATGCCATGGGTCATACTAATATGACATATGTTTTCAAAGTCAAGAATGCTGACTAATGATGAAATGCCTAAAGCAAATATATCTTGACAAAAATTATTTCAATTTTAGAACATGACAAATTAAAAAAATGAAGGTTAAATAATGACATGTTTAAGCAAAAAGAAAAATGAAGAGAATATGACACCAGCAGATCTCAATAAAAGAAAACAATAAAGAGCATTCTTTAAGTAGAAGAAAAATAATACTAGGTAGAAGCCCAGAAATAAAGAAAAAAAATGAAGAGAAAGGTAATGTAAAAATATAGGTAAATCTTAATGAATATTAACTGCACATAACATTAATAACAATGTCTTATGAGATCTGACATACATATAGAATTAAAATATACAACTTCAATAATATATAAATAAAATGTGGTTAAATGGAATAAGCTGTTATAAGATCCTTGTATTGTTTGGAAAGAGGGAAAATCTATATTGTTTGTTAACCACTAAACAAATAATTTAAAATTTATAATTACCAAGTGATTAGAAGGAGAAATAGAAAAATAAATGATAAATCTAAATAGAAAGAAGAATACAGAACAGGCAAGACACTTTCACATTTAGATGGTAGATTTAAACATTATGTAATGCTGCATGTACAAACAGACTAAATATTCCAAAAGATATAGGCTGTTAGATGTGTTAGAACAAAAATCTAACAGTATGCTTCTTACAAGAGAAATAAAAAATACAAGTACATGTAAAAGATTACAGTGAGAAGATGAAAAAAGATATACCATATAAACAATAACTAAAAGAATGATGCTATAGTAATATTAATATCAGGCAAAATAGACTTTAGGGTAAAAATCATTAACAGATTAAAAAAGATACTTCATAATGATAAAAGGTCCAATTTGCCAGAAAGATATACTAGTTCTAACTTTGTTAGAACTTAAATAACCTAATAACACAGTTTCAAAACACATGAAGGAAAAATTAAAGGAAATAAAATAAGAAATAAATCTATGGTCACACTGGGAGACTAAAAATTTTTCTCAATAACCGATATAATATGTTGACAATGTGTACATAGATTTTAGCAACATAATTAACAAATGACATATCTAAAACTGCACTCAATATCTACAACACATTTTTCCAAGTACACGCAAAATGTTTACAAAAATTGGCCATGTGGTAAGCAAGTTTTAAGAAATTTGCAAAGATTGAAATATTACAGAGCATTTTCTCATCACAGTAGCATTTAAGGTAACAAGATTATTAGAAAATCCCTATATGGTACAAAATTAAGAAAAATACTTAATAACCTGAGAGCCAAAGACATCATAATGAAATTATCAAATACTTTGAACTCAATAATTATGAAGGTGCTACATAAAAAAGGTGTGAGACAGTCTTGATAGCCTTAAGTACATTAGAAAAAAAGAATGGCTGAAAATCAATGATATAAATATCCAAATCAAGAAGTTAAAGAAGATCAGCAAATTAAACTCTAGGAAAGTAAAAAATAATGAAATAAGAGAAGAAAGTAATGAAACAAATCAAACACCTACTTCTGAGAATCTGACATAACAGTGAAGTCCTATAATTTTTAAAGATAAAAATTATTCTTTAAAAGTATTATTGATAAACCCTAGCAAGACTGATCAATATAAAAGAGAGAGGACAAAAAGTATCAGAAATGAAAAGGAAGACATCACTTCAGATCTACATAGACATTTAAAAGATAAACAGAGGGTAGTATGCAAAGAATTTAAATTTTAGATTAAATGGATCAATTCTTAGATGAACATAGTTTACTAAACTGAAACAAAAAGAAACAGGAAACATGAATAGTTCTATAACTACAAAAGGAAAAGAAGTTGTAATTAAACATCTGCAATAAAAGCTCCAGGTCAACATGGCTTACCTGGTAAATTCTATATACCATAAAATATATAACTTTCCCTCTCTCACAACTCTTTATTATCTTCCCAATAAGTTAATGGCTTTGCTTTTTATTTTATTGAGAATATAGACGCTATCATAATAAAATGCCTCCACCTTCCAACCACAGTTGACTTATATCTGCACCCATCTTCTCCATCTTTCCCAGTGTTACAACAGAAGTGGTGGGCTCCCTGACTCTAATAGATAAATCCCTCCTTTTCCATTCTAGACTTAGTCCCCTTTCACCTTTTCAGACACTTTAGTTCTTCAGTGATCCCATTTTTGTCTTGCAACATCAACTTCTCCCTCTCCATTGGGACATCATTCCCATCAGTACTCAAGCATGCCATAAAAACTTCCATCTCAAAAATAAAACAAGAGTTTTTTTCTTAAGTCCATACTTTCCTCTAGCCACTGCTCCATTTCTCTTTACCTCTTCATGGTTGAGGGAACCCTTCTCTAAAGACTCATCTGAAAATATTTGCAATGTCTAGTTTTCATTCACTCTTTAAATATCTAATATTTGATATATAAAAGCAATATATTTAACACATATGCAAGTTATGGATGACATCATAATAAAATGACTATTCAAATGAACTAGAATCCACTTATTTCTATCTTTACTACTATCACCCTAATCAAAGTTACTATCATCTCTTGCCTAGATCTCTGTTAACACCTTTACTGATTACCTGCTTTGTGCTCTTACATTCAATTTCCATAAGCAGAGTTATTTCCTAAAAATCCTTGATTAAAATCTTTCAATGCCTCATACTTGGATTAAAACCCAATTCCTTACCATTGTCCACAAATCTCTGAATCCAACTCTCTAATCTTATTCTATACCAGTTTCCCTCTCATTTATACTTTGGTCACAGTAGCTTCCTTTGATTTCTAGAACACGTTACATTCTTTTCTGTATCAAGTTATTTGCCTGGAATGCTCCTCTTTTCCTCTTCCCATGGCTGGCTTCTTTGATCATTCAAGTTTCAGCTTAAATGTCACCTCCTCAGAAGCCTTGCCTGGCCACATTATCTGAAGGAGATGCCCTCATTCTCTATCCCAGTTACTCTTTCATATCTTCTAGTTTATCTCATAGCTAAAAAGTATTATAACCACTATTTAGCTTGTTTTTATTTACTTGTTAATTATCTATTTTTCAAAATTTAATCTTCATAAGTGCAGGGACCTGGTCCATTTACTTACTGTAGACCTAGTACCTAACTATGCATATATAGCTAACTCTATTTTAAAACTAATCTGCCTGAACCATTGACCCCCCTCCTCCTTCCTCCTGAGTGGACTATGGGATATGTACGGAGACTCTAGGTTAATTATGAACTACTAGTAATCCTTCCTTCACTATTAGTCCTTCCTCCTGGGCAAGTTACCCTCAATGTTATCTCACCCTGGCACCAGAGCCCCCAGTATCCAGTCTTTTTTTTCCCCCTAGATCACCTCTGCATTCCTTTCAGAGTACTAGGTCTACTTCTTAGCAGGGTTTATAAACGGTAGTCTCGTAGATAAATGGGGCATAGATCCATTTTGTCCTGCTGCCACCCAGGACTGAATTTCTATAAGTAAGTTCCCTGTTAAAACTCTTTAAACTGACAAGCTGGACTTGTCTTTTTTGTTCTTTGGCCTCTTGGATCCTTTTGCATTTGGGGGCTGCTTTCTATACAGGGCATTTTCATGAAACACTAGCCCAGTTCATAATATATGGATGTTCAATAAATATTGATTAAATATTTAAATACTGTATTTAGATTTTCAATTGATTTCTTGTTTGTATTCTCAATTAGTTAGGAACCTGGAGGAGGGGGAGAGGGTTCTCCCAAAGTTTCAGCAGGTTTATAGATGAAGAAAGTTAAATAATGAATAAGCAGGTTTAGTTTAGAAGAAATCAGAGCTGATTCTCAAGAAAACATTTTCAGGAAAATTAGTGAAGGAAAGAGATGTCAGATAATAGTTAAACAAAGAAAAAATATAAATTTAACTGAAGAATAGAACTGAAAGGGATATTTTATGTATGTTTGAATGAAGAAGGAATAAAGAAACAATTATGAAAATCATAAACCTAAGAAAGCAAAGCAGGATGGGATAAGAACCAAAAGTAGAACACAGAGAGATGGAGAGAGGAAATGAAGAGAGGGAGGGAAAAAGAGCTGGAAAGAGGGAGGTATAGGAAGAGGAGGAGAGAAAGGGAAAATCTATTCCTCTGAGATAGCTTTGAGCAAAAAATATCCCTCAAAATATTTCAGATATTCTGCTTGATTCAAGGAATAAATCTCATCCTACTTGTTCTTATTAACTCACCTGGATTGGAGGTTCTTGAAATTTCTCTTACTACCACCCATGGTCCTTGTCCATCCTCCAAATGAGCTATCATGTCTGGTTTGGAAACTGCAAGCCCTGTTCAGAGAAAAATGAAGAGGATTTGATTGTACCTATGAGCAAGAACTATTGCCAAATTCAGTCTCATTTCTTAATTTCCTATGGAGAATGACTATTATAGGAAGTTCTAGAGATGCACTGTTCAATACAGTTGTCAATGCCACATGTGGCTATTTAAATTTGAATTTAAATAAAATTATATAAAATTTAAAGTTCAGTCCTTCAATTGGACTAGCCAGACTTCAAATGCTCAACAGCCACAAGTGGCTAGTGTTTGCCCTATGTGACAGCACAGATATAGAACATTCCACCTCAGCAAAACATTCTATCATACAGTGGTGTCACATAGAACTACAAAGTTATTGCAAAGAAGCTCAACACTATGATCCCAGGTTTGCTGGGATAATAGATCATGGGAATAATCTGAATTTAGAAAGAAAAGGAACAAATAACTCTTATTGATGGAAATGACTAGAAAAACTTTAGTCCTAAAACTGGGGGATTGTCAACAACCTCTAAGATCCCAATGAAACATGCACTTCTTATCCTACAATAGATAGACCATTTAGTTAAGAGTGAGGAATAACATAACTCTCAACAATATGCTCCTAAAATTATGAGATTATAATGCCTAAACTCTAACCCAAAATTCAATTAAGTACTTGAGAGGCTCTATATCCAGCAAATCTGGTCAAATAGGCAGATACATTAACTTAGAAGTTATCCTTACCCAGGGAGACAAGATTCCTGTAATTCTCTAGCATTACATCCTTGTGTAGGTCTCTCTGTGTAGGGTCCATCAACCTCCACTCTTCCAATGTGAAGTCAATAGCCACATCTTTAAATGTCACTGATTCCTAAAATAAATACACTGTCATCACCCAGGGACTATACATTTAGATCTGTTAGAAACTGGGGAAGAATTCCAGAAATCAGAATCACCAAATGACTACGGAAGTCAACCAGTTTAAACCTTGAAGAATGTATAAATCTCTCCAATGACAAGAACTTAAAACTACAAGAGGAAGGTTCATTCTATTTTTAGTTTTACCTAAATGGAAAAAATGTATGGTTTTCTCCTTCCCTAGAAAGTCATTAAAACACCTGATAACAGCTAGTAGTTTCCAGCCAAATCATCTTTTCTCCTTCAAAACCCTGGCATTTATATAATATCAATTATTTTTCAGTTCTAATCTATAAAATATGGCTTATCAAAAGATACGGTTTATCATTCAGATTATAGATTTAGATTATAAACTCTCTCTTTGAGAAATAAAAATATAAAATCATAGCACTTTGGGAAATATTTTTGGCCAGGATATGAAATATATATGCCATTACATCAAAAATAGAAGAATGAACCATAACAAATTTTTAATGGTTACCTACTGGAAGGAGAAAATAGAGTGCAGAAGACTGAACTAGAAACTGGACTCCTTTAAATATTTCTTTTGTAGATTTGACTTTTGAACCATGTGAACACTTTATATTATTATAAAAGAAAAATTTTAATTCAAAAATAATCTATAAAACTTATTTGTTTCAAAAGTAAACAAAATTTATAGTAGTGTGGGAATGTGGTACATTTCTACCACATCTAAAGCATCTGAAAAAATTACTATTATATAAGGCAAGTAGTCCAGAATAGATTTCTATAGCACAAGATGAAATCATAGCAGAAAAAAATTAAATTAAAAGTTATATCTTGCCCACTCCTTTGGCATATGATGCCCAAAATATGTTTGTAATCATCCCTACCACATTCTCCAAATAGTCTTAAAAATCCAAGCAATATGGATGTACTATTTAAAGATTTGCCACAATGAATGTTTTGAAATATTGGTATACCATTTTTAAAAGATCTGTTCCCAACAAAAGCAATCCCTAAAAATTAAAAGTAAAATGAAACCAGTGGGCAACATACACATTCATCAAAGAGAAACTATTTTGAGTGACTTTAAAACATAATAATTTTTCTGGATATCCTTTGTGAGACACACACCAAGGAGAAAAAGAACTACAAAAACAAAAGCAACATGTTTAAGTAAATAATCATAATGTTGGTGGTAGTGATGGAAATGCAGTTTTGTAACTGTTGTGTGTGAAGTGTTAGATAAAACAAATTAGTGTATTGATGCTATTGAGAACTAATACATTTGGCATGGGAAAAATAAGATATAATATTGATGAGATTATATAAAAACTCCATAGATCCGAATTTGAATTAGAAATAGTCTAAACTTATGAGGTATTTTATTTTTAAGGGAAAAAAAACACATTTCCTAGATTTGTCCACTGATTCAGGGCTAGAAACAATACCCTATAAGATAGCATTATGCAATTCAGACTGTGGACTCAAAACATTACTTTTCACTAAGAGGAATGAGGGCCTGCAACTTTCTGCCATACCAAAAAGCAAAGAAGCTATCAAAGACTGCTAGGATCATGTCCAATACAAGATACAATTTGAAGAGGCTCCCACTGGCCAATGATAGGACAATCTGAGTCTTAATAAAGATAATAACTATAATGGATTTCAAAAATATATATTAAAATTCATGATTTCATAATAATACTATAAAATACTCATTGATCATCTTTGAAGGATGCTTGGAAACTGGTAAATAAAGAGAAAGGATCAACTTTTTGTCTTTTTTCTATGCTAAATATACATAATTTTTATAGTAATCAAGTGTGATCAAATAGTTGATAAGGGGAGGTTTCTCTTTACAGAGTACTCCAGCTACTATATGAGAGAAACGAAGAATTAGAACATTACCATTTTGCAATCTCTAATCAGTTAAAGGATCATCAATGGCTGTTAACACAGCAAAGAGGCCTCAACTTGGCATTATGTACCTCCTAATGGTATATACTAGAAATATAAAATACTATTGCCAAAAAATTTTTTAAAAAATCAAAATCTGATTCTGATCAAGCCTGTAGATCTACCTGACAACATACAGGAAATACAGGAGACAGAAGAGGATGTTAAATAACTTCACGAGGATACAATAAATAAAATCATATTGTGTGAAATTCTAAATCAATGCTATCCAATAGTTATAATGCAACTCACATATACAATTTAAAATTTTCTAGTAGCTACATTAAAAGTAGAAACAGGTGAAATTTTATGCTTTTAATAACATTTTATTTAGCTTTATGTATACAAAATACATACAAATTATATAAGTTCAACATGCAATCAATATAAAATTAATGATACTTTATTTTTTATATTAAGCATAGAAACATGATGTGTATTTTAAATTTACAGTACACCTGTAAATGGACCAGTCACATTTCAAGTGCTGAACAAGCCACATGTGGGTAGCAGGAGCTGTATAGGACAACGTAACCCTAAAGTACAAATGACTTGGTTTCTTCAATAAACTATTACAAGAGAAGAAAAAGAGGGAGAGGGAAACCTCTGGATTACAAGTGACCTAAGAGACGATAATAACTAACTATAACATATTAATCAACTAGGGAAACAAATATCAACTCAATATTTGATAATATTAATGCTTTTATTTTTTTAGCTATAATAATGGTGATGCAGGTGCCTCTTGAACAACATGGGTTTGAACTGCCTGAGTCCACTTATACATAGATTTTTTTTTCAATAAATATGTATAGTATTGTAAATGTATTTTCTCTTCCTTATAATTTTAATAATATTTTCTTTTCTCTAGCTTACTTTATTTTAAGACTACATCTAACATATAAAATATGTGTTTACTGTGTTATTGGTAAGGCTTCTGGTCAACAGTAGGCTATTAGTAGTTAAATTTTGGGAGAGTTGAAAGTTATATGCAGATTTTTGGCAGCATGGGGGTCAGTGCCCGTAACCCCTGCATTGTTCAAGAGTCAACTGTATGTTGAACATTAAAAAATGTTACATATTATATAATGAAATATTTATAGATGAAATTATATAATGTCTTATATTTCCTTCAAAATAATTAGTGAGGGAGGGTATGATTACAGATGAAATATGATTGGCCATGGGTTGATAATTGTTGAAGATGGGCAATAAGTTCAACAAGATTCATCAAACTACTCTTTCTACTTCTGTATAAGTAATAGTGCATATAAGGGAGGCATTGAGAAGTTAGGTGCTTTGTCTAAGTTCACAGAGAAGGCAAAACTTAGATTCAAATCCAGACAGTTTGTCTCCAGAATTTAAGCTTGTAATCACTATACTCAATGATCTAGTAAACTAAGAGCCCTGATTATCTGACTAATCAGTTAGATAATATTTGGCTAAGGTCTGCTCTCAGAAGAAACAGATTCCCTCTGGAGTGTTTTTCTGCATATAGATAAGTATGCTTGTCAAAATGTTTAAACCTTTTATTTGGGCCTCCAAGTTTGTAAAGCATGTTTTATATAGTTCTGCTAATAATAAAATGTGGCTAATGTGGCGATAATGACAGTTCATAAACTTTATTGCTAATCGCTTCACACATAGCTCAAATTATAATGAATTTACTGGGCTTATTTTCTTTTTCCACCGAGTTAAACCCCAGGAAAAATAAAGAAGGCCCCCAGCTCTCACTTCCGGCTTACCTTGAGGTTCTGTGCAGAGAAGAAATGAAGGGTGAAGCAGAGTTGTAAACTGTAGAAGGTATGCCCAACACATAAAAAAGCCTTTTAGCAAATGCTGGAAGACTTAGTGATTTTAGGATTTAAGGAAATTTATGTTCAAACATTAACTAATCACTATGTTAACCAGAGATTTTCAGTGGCTATACATGACAAAGAATATAAACTTTACTGAATTAGTTCAGGAAAAGTCACTAAATAAATAAAATAGCAGCAGCAATAACAACAACAAACTGTAACAACAAACTCTGGGGAGAGGAGAATCTGATTTCTAGAGTTGCCACATTGTATTATTTAAAATATCATGTTTTCAACAAAAAATTACAAGACACACACAAAAAACCAGAAAAGCATAGACCATAAATAGTAAAAAATATCAGTCAATGTAAACTGTTTCTAAGGAAGCCAAAAAGTAGTATTTACTAAATAAGGATACAAAATCAGCCATTATATATGTTAAAAAATCTAAAGAAGACCAGGTCTAAAGAATCAAAGTATGAGAATGATCACTCATTAAATAGAAATTCTGGAGTTGAAAAATACAATAATTGAAGTGAAAAATTCACTAGAAAGTTTTAGTGAAAGGAAACAGCAAATCTGAACAGTACTATGGTCTGAATGTTTATGTTCCCCCAAACTGATATGGTGAAATCCTAATGCCCAATGTAATGGTATTGCTTAAGTCATGAGGGTAGGATCCTCATGAATGAGATTAAATTTCCTATTAAAGAAGATCCAGAGAGACATCTAGCTCCTTCCATTGTGTGAGGATACAATGAGAAGTCTGTGACCCAGAAGAGAGCCCTCATCTACCATGCAGGCACCCTGTTCTTGAACCTCCAGTCTCTAGAACTATGAGAAATAAATTTCTTCCCAGTGAGGAAATATTCACATGTCTTACCTCTTGTCCTAGTCCCAGAGCCTATAAAGGTGAACATGTTAGGGGTGGCTGGGGGAAAAGAGGAAAGTTTGTTCCAGAAGGAACTATCTGAGAGATCATAAGGATTTCTAAACATGGAAAAGGGAGGAATAAATCAATTGTTGAAAAATCATTGTATATTTTTCCAGGTCTAAAGAAAGAACAAAGCATGTGTAATGGAATCCAACTCTTCAATGACATCAAAAAGGGAATTTTCAAATCATTTCTTGTATAATCTAGCTGTTCAAATGATCATACAATCATTTTAGTCTTTCTAAATAAAAAGATTTTTTAAACTTCAAAAAATATTTTTCTGTTGTTTACAAGCCACCCAGTCTGTTGTGTTTTGCTATAGAAGCCTGAACAGAGTAAGATAAGCAGACAGAAAAAAGAATTGGTTAACTTGAGGACAGATCAATTGAGATTATCCGGATTGAGGAAGAGAAGCAAAAAGGATGAAAAAAAATGAACAGAGCTTCAGAGACCAGTGGGACAACAAGAATACCAATATATGCATAATGGCATAATGGGAATTCAAGAAAGAGAAGAGAGAGAAAGGGGCAGGAAGAATATTTGAAGAAATAATGGCCAGAAAACTTCCCTAATTTGATTAAAAACATTAATCTTCACAAACAAGGATCTCAGTGAACAGCAGGTAGGATAAAATCAAAGCGATCCATGCCTAGATACATCATAACCAACTGGTAAAGAAGAGAGACCCCTGAAAGCAGCAAGAGAGATTTCTAACGTACAAGGGATCTTCAGTAAGACTGTCAAATTTCTCATCAGAAACCATTGAGGTTAGGAGGCGATGGTATGACATTCAGAATGCAGAAAGAAAAAAAATGTCAACAAAGAATTCTATATGCAGCAAAACTATCCTTCAAAAAATGATAAACATAAACTGAGATAATTCACAGCTAGCAGATCTGGCCTACGATGAATACTAAAGGGTATCTTTTAAGTGAGATGAAAGGACACTAGATAGTAACAAAAATCCACATGAAGAAATAATAAGCACCAGTAAAGGTAACTAAATAGGTAACAATAAAAATATAATATAAATGTGTTATATATTTGTGTTATTTGTAACTTTTTCTTTTCTTATTTAAAAGATAACTGTATACAATGATAATTATAAAACTGTGTTGATAGGATTATAATGTATAAAAGCCATAATTTGTATGACAATAGCACAGAGGAAGGAGAGGGGAATAGAGCTATATTTGAGATTTATATACTATTAAAATTAAGTTGGCATTAATCTGAAATATACTGTTTTTTGTCAAGATGTTAATTATAATCCCCAGAGAAACAATGAAGGTAACTCAAAGAATACTGTGAAAGAAATAAGAAAGGTTAATTAAATGGGATACTAGAAAATATCTAACATGCAAAAAAACAGTAAAGGAAGAAGAAACAAACAAAAAAAGACATAAGATGTATAAAAACAAAGAGCAATATAACTCTAACCTAACCCTACCTTATCAATATTAAAAGTAAATAGATTGAACACTGCAGTCTAAGGGAGAGATTAGCAAAGAGACTTTTGTGAAAATGATACAAATAAAGTATACAGAAGACACACTTTAAATTCATGGACACATGTTTAAAGTAGAAGGATGGAAAAAGCATACTATGCAGATAGTACACAAAAGGAAGCTAGAGTGGCAATATTAAAATCAGACAAAACAGACAAAAATTTTTACTAGAAACAAAGAGATACTTTATAATGATAAACTGGTTAATGTATCAATAAGACAAGTTTAGACATATTTTCACCTAACCAAAGAACCTCAAAATACAAGAAGCAAAAATTTATAGAACTTAAGGGACAAAGGCAATTTGACAATAGTAATAGTTGGAGACTTTAATAACTCATTTTCAATAATGGATAGAACAACAAGGCATCAGATCAACAAGGAAACAGAAAACTTGAAAAGCACTATAAACAAACTGGATCTACAGACATCCATAGAACACTGAGTTATCCAGTAACAGGAGAACATACATTCTTCTCAAGTGTACATGGAATATTCTCCAGGACTGACTATATGTTAGGCCACAAAACAAGTCCTAATAAATTTAAAAAGACTGAAATCATATAAAGTATCATTTTGATCACAATGGAATATAACTATAAATTGGTTAAAAGAAAACTAGAAAATTCACAAATATGTAGAAAATAAACAACTGACTCTTAAACAACCAATGGGTCAAAGAAGAAATCACAGAGAATTTAGAAAATACTTTGAGACCAATGAAAATGAATCACTAGATACTCAAACTTGTGGGATACAGTGAAAGTGGTGCTCAGAGGGAAATGTGCAGCTGTAAATGCCTACATTAAAAAAGAACATATCAAATTAATAATCTAAATTCATACCTTAAAAAACTAGAAAAGGAAGAGAATTACATATAGATGTCTAACCAATATACAGTATACTTGAAACTAATTTAAATAAGTAAATTTAAAAAATATTCAAAAATTTATAGAGAAATTAAAGAAATAAATACATAGAGAGATACCGTATCTATGAGTGGAAGACATAATAAAGATGTCCACTGTCCTCTAACTGATTTGTAGATTTAATATAATCTCAATCTAATCCTCAAAAAAGAAAAAAGCAGAAGAAAATAATAAATATTAGAATGAAGATAAACAAAATAGAGAACAGAAAAACAATAGAGAAAATAAACAAAAACAAAATTTGGTTATATGGAAAGATTACAAGATTCTTAGATTGACTAAGGAAAAAAGAGAGAAGACCCAAATTACTGGTCAGATATAAAAAAGGAGACATTACTACTGACCTTACAGAAATAAAAGGATTATAAAGGAATACTATAAACAATTGTAGGCCAACAAATTAGATAACCTAGATGAAATGAACAGATTCCTAGTAAGACACAAACTACCAAAACTGACACAAAAAGACAAAGAAAATATGAATAGATCCATAAGTAAACTTTCCACAAATAAAAACCCAGATTCAAGTATCTTCACTGGTGAATTCCACCAAACATTTTCAAGAGAATTAACACAAATCCTTCATTAACTTTAACAAAAAAACAGAAAGGAACAATTTCCAACTCAGTCTATGATACCAATATTACCAAAACTAGACAAAGACATCAAAAGAACACTACAGACCAATATCTCTGATGAATATACACACAAAATACCAGCAAACAGAATCAAGCAACAAATAAAACATAGTACTATATAACACAGTCAAATTATATTTATCCAAGAAAACAAAGTTGATTTATTATCTGAAAATCAATAAAGGTAATACACCATATTAAAAAAGAACAAAACCCACACAATTATTTTAATCAACTTAGAAAAAGTACTTGACAAAATCCAACAAACTAGAAATAGAAGCAAACTTTGTTAACATGATAAAGACTATCTATGATAACCCAAATCTAACATCATACTTTATTGTGAACAGTCCCATATATTTCCCCTGAGATCACAAACAAGACAAAGATGTCCTCTCTCCACTTCTGTTCAACACTGTATTGTAAGTTTTAGCAAGGGGAATTAGAAAAGAAAAAGAAATAAAAGGTATCAAAATTGGAAAGGAAGAAGCGAATTTCTATTTGCAAATGACATTATCTCTATTTACAGATGACATTATCTTGCATATAGAAAACCCTAAAGAATCCTTGCACATATGCAATAAAAAAACTCCTATTAGAACTAAATAAACTAGTTCAGCAAGGTTCAGGATTCAAGATCAATATACATAAGTCAATTATTTCTATATATTAACAATGAACATTCCAAAAAGAAATTAAAATAAAAAATCAATTTAAAAAACAACCCCACAAAAAAAACCCTCAGGAATAAATTAACAAAAGATGTGCAAGACTTGTATATTGAAAACTACAAAACATCACAGAAAGAAACTGAAGAATACCTAAAAAAATGGGAAAACATTTCATATTCTTTCTATTGGAAAACTTAATATTGTTAAGATAGATAAGAATATTGTTAATATTCTCAAAATTGACCAACAAATCCAATACAAGCTCTATGAAAATTCTATCCGCCTTTTTTGCAGAAATAAAAATGTTAGAAGTTAGTAGTAAAATATTGGTTCTACTCAAACTAAAATTAAAGTTAAGTTCAGTATTTATAAATAGGATGCAGAATTTAAGGAAGAGGAAGAGAAAATTAATCTTCTTCCAGGGACTCCTTCTGTCAGAAGAACAAAAATAAACCATAGGATTTATTCACCATGTTAAAAATTATGGTATTTTCCTAAGGTTTATGATTCAAATTTGAAATCATGACTATTTTATAAAGTCTAAACTGTTGTATATTAAAGGACAATTTTAAGAATTATTAGTACAGGTCTATGGCCATGCTACCCTGAACAAGCCTGATCCTGTCTGATCTCGGAAGCTAAGCAGGGTCGGGCCTGGTTAGTACTTGGATGGGAGACCACCTGGGAAGACCAGGTGCTGTAGGCATAAAAAATATAAAAATAAGGAATTGTAAGCTGACAAGGTCCTTGCAATCTGTGAGGTCAATCAAGGGTTGCCCCACCTTAAAAAAAAATCATTTGTCCAGTAATAAATTTCAAAAAATTTATGTATAAAACTGAATTTCAGAATAAATTTTCTCACAGAAACAAAAAGAAAAACCCAGTTTTACATGAAACATTTTTATACTAAAACCAACTTACAAAGTATAATTTTCAAAAACTTAAAAACATAATTCTAAAAAAAGGGGGGCTGAACTTCTATATAAATTTGTTTAAAAAAAAAAAACAACCATAATTCTCCTAAAAGTATAATCAACACATGTCAAACATTTACTTGTCATTAATGAGAGATAAGTAGCTTGACAATTTGGCTCAAAAGAGACGTATGAAACATATGTATACATAGTGGAAAAAGAATGCTGAAATAAGATTGCAAAATTAGACAGAAACTTGATGAATTTCCTATAGGACAGTAAAACCATAACTTTTTAGGATTATATTTTCTCCTAGGTAGAAATAATTTGCACTTTTCAATCTTCTACAAGTTAACATCTAACTGTGAGGGTCTGGATATTAATCAATAACAAATACTAAGTCAAAGAATATAACCGCCCCTGTTATGTCAGATGACACTTAGGCTGGTCTAATATGAAAATGAAAGGGCATATCTTTTGCCTTATTTCTAAATTTTGTATAATTTTTCTTAACACAATTTATACATTTCCGATTTTGGTATTTTTCAGGAAAAATCAGGTGGATTCTGTATTCACAAATAAGAAAGTAAGCTTAACAAATATAATGAAATAATAACTATCTAAACAAATTAAACATATTAAGAATTTTCCACTAATGTTGATGTATTCTTGATATTTTAAATGGTATTGGGTCATACAATGGGAAGCAAGAATCAGACTATGTGATACAAGGTACTTTATCATTAGCAATCATAATGTGACTATCTGTCAAATTAGGGCTGCCACCACTGAGAGAAATGATATTTGTCAAATTAATGCTACCATCCCTGGGGTTACCACAGCTATCAAGTAAGATGGTATTCATTGTGAACGTGCAATGAACTGGGAACATTAAGCATTAGTGGCAGTAAAAGAGGCGCATTTTCTTTATTCCCCTTATATACAATAGTATTACCTTTACCAATTCTGGTTCTTCTGCTTGAAGATGAAGATCTTCATTAGGGTGGGAAACTTCAGGACTCTGAGGGATACAGAATAAGATCACTCAAGGATAAGCTGCCTGTGACCTACAGCAGAGCCTCAACAAACACCAGCAGTCCACTGTGGATGTGGTGCATATGGGATGACCTCTTTTACAGTTTTTGGAGCTGAAATCAAGATCCCATGGTAACATCTAATCATAATCTCCTTTGACTTAGAGACAATAACAAACACAAGATTGAAAAAGCTATGACCACATGGTTTTTGAAGGAGGTTTTTAACAAAGAACCTATAAAAACAAAAATAAACTTATAATAAGGGGGCTTCAGATGCTATATACTTCTTTTTATGGAGATAAAATCTATTTTTCAGAAAGTATGTCTTGCTCAATAATAATATTCAAAACCTATTAACACCATCTATTTTCTAGTTAAATCATTACAGTGTTTGGGAGGGAGGCATGTCTCAGTAGCTTCTCAGGAAATATTTTCAGAAACCTCTCATAACATTGTTTTCTTCCAAGCCTTAGAAACTATATCGCTGTCAGGGCCTGATTTTATAAACGAAATGAAATTTTACTATACTTTGTTGTAGTACTTATCAATTTTAGATTTTGTGCCATTAAGAAATATGAGTAATAAAACGACTTACTTAAATTTCATTGAGAAAAACGTTATCTTAATTCTCCCAAGTTCTTATCTAAAAATTAAAATATTCACCTTCCAGAGAATTTACAATGATGTGAACCTCAAACTCTGACAATTAAGGATGGGTTTGATCAGGCCAATACTAGACAGATACTTTGGATCTATTAATTAAGTGTAACATTTTGATTTTTATTTATCTTATCAAGGATATGTTTTAAGGACTATTTACCTGTTATGTATCCTGGCTACACAGAATGAAAAGTCACTACTGTAGGTTATTTCGGAGCATTACTATAATAAATTCTATTTGTTAGTATTACTGTCTTCTGATTCTATTTCAAAAAGTCACTGCTAAAACACAGCTTTTATCACATTAATATCCTTCTCAAATACACACACACACTTGAATGTCTTTAGGTAAACGTGAAAAAATTCAGCTTAAATATCTAATTTCCAGTCCTACTTTTCAGTTTTCTATCTTGAATCACTAGCTCACTCACTGTTCCCTGCCTTACAGTCTTGCCTTAAACTCCTTTCTCACCTGAAGTACCTTCACAAATACTTTGACAATTTAAATCCCACTGTAATTGAGTAGCAGCTTAAATCTATGTATCCTCATGAGCTTTCCCTGATAACTTAGCCCATACTAATGTTGCATTTATTTCCTTACACAGCACTCATCATCTTTATCATACAGCTAAGCAACTATCATCCACCTAAATAAATTATGTAACTATTTCTTCTGTATGCCTTACCTCAATGAGAATGTAAGCTCCCTACAGCCAAGCACTGTGTCTTAAATATCTTCTCTCCATGTCATCTATTAAGCTTGATCACTTCTTAATGGATAGAAAAGAGGAGATCAATAAGAGTGGGCACAAGGGGAATGGTCCCTATGAATTAAAAGTGTGAGTGTGAGTATGTGTGTATGTGTGCACATATATTTTCCCCCCAAAATTTCCTAAATCATATTCTTAATTGAAACATATTCCATTTTGCTACCCTTTAAATAACCAAAATTTCCTGGGAACAATGCAAATATAACACCAAAAGTAAATTTCCCAGACTGTCTATAATATCTAAAGATGGCCCAGGTATTTTTTTGAAAGATCATGCGTCTTGAAATTTGGTTCAATACATACAGTGAATCTTCCTATTGATTACAACCTTTACTCACAAATCAATTTAATTCAGTTACAAGGAGGGGTGTGAGTAGGATATAGAAGACTTCAGGAAAAGACATGTCCTATACCAAGCCAGCAAGTAAGAAGCAAAGAAAACCCCAACTTACTAGAGTTCCAACTGAAGAAACCACAGCAGCCATTATTCTCTTCCTTGTTTCCCTCTTGAGGAGTAGAGTCCTACAAAGACATTTCTGAGAAAGAGAAATAAGCCATGAAAACCAGTCCTGCCATGGCAATCTTGGACTCACTTTGTTGGAATACTGACATATAAGTGAGCATGACTTCCCTAAAGAACCCAAGAGTAACCCCCAACATCAGCGAGAAAAAAAAGATTCTTGCTCTTGAGATTTTTACTACTATTAAATTTAGTCAGAGCCATTGTACAAGGAGCTTTTAAAATACTTTCTCATTTGATCTTCACGTCAATCCAATGGGAATTCTATGTATAGACAAGGAAACTGAGGATTTGAAAAATTAATCTACTTATACAAGACCATGCATGACTCCAAATCGGTCTAATTCCAATGCCTGCACCTTTTCCACTAAGTCAACTTGTTGAGTGATGTTGTGAAAAGCTGACATAAGTGGAGCCATTTTAAAATGGAGCCAGAGCAGCCATTCGAGAGGAACTGCCTTGCATGTCTTGCTTCCTGAACCTTTGGAATGTTTGAACTGGGCAAAATAACCTTTGGACTGGGCCATAGCAACACTGTCTTACAAACAATTGTTTGTAAAACTAACAGGAAAAGCAGACATCCTGACTACAAGGACTGATGATTATGGACTCTTTTTCTGAAGACAGAATCAGTAACTAGCTAAAGAGTAACTCAACTTGTTACCAGCAGTTGCATGGCCCCTCAATTAGGAACTCTGTTATGCTTAAACATGCTGAATCTGCTCCTGCTCTGAATGGGCACCTTGCTTCTCATAAGATTCAGTATTGAGCTTTTGCTCAATAAACAAAGCAGAATTTAATCTTACAGTTTGTGTCAATCAGAAACTCATGTGAAATGATACTTGTAGTAATTAACCACTATCTTCTGAAAAAGAATTATAATATATAAAGCAAGGCTATTATAAATTCAAAGAACATTAGAGATATACAATTTAAATAGATATGAGTATATTGAAAATTTATCTTCAAGTATTCGAGCATTTGATGAAATTAATCATATACTACCAAAGACCACTGACTAAAGAAAACCTCAATCAAAAAGAAGAAATTGAATATACATTTTCTACCCATAATGCAGTAGAATTACAAATGTACCACATGTCTGAAGGGCAGGGAAAAAAATAAACCCTCCTGAGTAGCTATTAAGTCAAAGAGAGAACTTTATAATTGCCAATAAATTAGAAAATAAGTAGTACAGATTTAAAATGCATGGGTTGCTGCCAAAGCTTTACAGAGATTAATTGAATTTACATCCCTAAATACTTTCAAGTAAAATTTTTAAAAAGAAAAAAAAAATTAAACATTCAACTAAAGAAGAAAAATAATTAACAAGCAAGCCATAAGGAAGAAATAATTATGGAAGAAACTAGTGAATAAGAAAACAAGTAATTGAACAAAACAGCTGTCAAAGGCAGGAGCTCATTCTCTGAATAATTAAATATACAAGCCACAGGGGAGTCAAAAAAGAAAAACATACCAATAAACCAAAAATAAAAATAAAGAAGGGGCGATAACAGATAAAATGTCTTAAAACTGTGTGCCAATAGAAATAAAAATTCCCAAAGAACAACTTTTGTTTAAAAATTTTCTAAAGCTGACTCAACAGAAAACTTAAGTAGACCAATGTAATAGACACTGCTAACATCCAGTCTCCTCTGTCTGCTTGACAGAGGCTCAAAGTCTCAGCTGGCCACAAGGCCACCCAATTAGAGACATTTCCCAGGTTCTTTGCAGGCAGGTGTGGCCAGGTCACAAAATTGCAGCAAATGGGATCTGAATAGAAGAGATGGTATACAACTTTCAGGTCACACCTTTAAAAGGGAGCTGCTTGCCTTCCATTTCTTGGTCTTCCATTACGATGGCCTGAAATGCACAGTATGAGAGTGAGCCAATTTTCACCAAAGAGAGAACAACACCCTCAAGTGGGTGTGGAGCAAAAAAATGGATAGAGCCTGGGTTTCCAGATGCCTTAATGGACCAAAGCTGCCTATCCTTACCCACCCTGATCACTGCCAGCCACCTATGAACTCAGACTTTTATATGAGAAAGAAATTCTTTCTTGTTCTAACCACCTAGACTCTGCTAAAGCTGCAAAATTAATTTCCTAACAGAGTGAATGGTCATGAAAGAAAAAATTAAAGGTATCAGGTAAACGGGAGAGCAGAGTTTAGTTAAATCAAGAAAAAATATGAATATCTTAAGAATGTAGTTTATTCCATGACACTAGAAGGTTTTACTGTACACAATGAAAAAGGTTTTGGTGGAAGAGAAACGTTAAGAAGTTGGGGAGGATAAACATAGTGTAGTGTGGAGATAAGACTTGGCCAAAGAATAATCCGAGAGGATTCCTTTATTGAAGGCTCAAGGTTACCAATAAAAGAGGTTTTCCCTTACATCAGTATTTCTTTACTTTTTTTCAGGTCACAGGTTCCTTTGCATAAAATTGCATAAAATTAGAAGGATCTCAAATCTGAGGATGCAAAAAAACTCACAAAGCATGCTAATTAAAAAGAAATTTTTTTGGCTCCATCCAAGAACTAAATCCACATCTCTGGGTGTGAAGTACAGAAAAATATATTTTCATCAAGTACCTTGAGAAATACTGTTCTAAAGATAATTCCTGAACCAAATTAAAGACCCTTCTTTACACACTTGAAAATCCAATTGAAATGTTTTACCAAAAGGATTCTAGAATCCAGGCAAATTTGTAGCCCTACAATAATTTCCTTAGCTGAATTTCTGCTTCACACTTGGTATTTCTTGAACCACTCTTCATCTCACAGTGCAGAAGCAATACTTGTGCCAAGTTTAAACACAATTTAAAACAACTGAAGCTGTTATAACAAATATTAACAATAACTACATATCAACACCAGTAGATCTTAATTTTGAGGGGATCCGTTTGAGAGTCTGACCTAGCCCATAGAATAATGCACATGGATATATGACGTTGCATATTATTTCAATAAGTTTGAAGCCTGACCCCTCCCAAACTCATACACTGACTTGGTCAAGAAATCAAGTTTTACAAGGTTAGAAAGAAAAAAACTGGCTAAAAGAAATAATAAACAAAAACTATTTTTTCCTAAAACACAAAAGCAGACCTCCAAAGAGTGTCTTAAGACATTTTCAATTCCAAGGAGCTACAGTATTGGTTTTCTGCATCTTTAAAACTTAAGAATGATCTGAGTCATTTCTTTTTAAATTTGTAAATATTAATTAACTCCTTGGCAATATGCTATGTAGATTATACAAACTGTAAAATAAACATCTTTTAATTTTTATAATCAGAATAAACAATGCTACTTAAAATTTAATATATTCAGTTTGACCTCAATTGAGTAAAATAATGCACAGAGAAAAAGACTGCAAAGTGAGTACTCCAGAACTACTGAGACGTCTTGAGATCTTGGCCTGTTCATCCTTCTACTTTTCCATACTTTCCAAGTAGACAATAAGAAGTATTTTTATATATATATAGGCGTTTCCTATGGGAATAAAATTCCAGAGTGGCTATGCACACTCCTAGCTTCTAATGTTGGTTTAGCTACTGTGGAAATGATTATAGGCAAGTCACTAAGCACAATGAACCAGTTATTAGCAAACACATTATATGTTTCTACTTTCTCCTTTGACATTACACAGAAGATACCTAGGTCAATATTTCTCCAGTCATAATTTCCTAAATATTTTTTCTGGATGTTGTGACTTCATCCAAGCTCTACCGTCCCAAGCACTACAGAATTATCAAGGGCTTAAGGAGAAACTTCACTTGCTGAGGTTCCATGTTCTTGCTGCGAACTTCAGCGCCATGGGCCAGACAAGCATTTTCCAACCTAAGCAATGATACCATTGTCATGTCAGGGAGAGATGAGTGATTTAACAGTTATTTTGCAGAAATGCCATAAAATGAGCAGGTAAGGAAAAGCTGTCTGAGTTACCCAAAGACAGGAGAATGTCCACCTGTCAGGTCACCTGGTGGGAAACCTAGTTCCATCCTGCCGGTTCAGACACCAGAAGGGAGACTGCCCCTTCTGCAGTCCCACCCTCTTTCACTAACAGCCCTTCTCTGCCCACTCGGGGGTTCCCCACCTCGCTCCATCAAAGGCGCGGGACAGGGAAGAGGGGTAAGGTTCGGTGGAACCCCAAGCCCAGGCCCCGCGCTCGGTGCTCCCCGACCTCAGCGCGACGAGGCCTACCACCGAGGGCACCCACCACCTTCAGAGAGAGGACAGGACTAGACTGAATCGAAAACTAGGCTGATCAGCCCCAAACACCTCTGGGGGTGGGCGGGTCAACTCAGGAAAAGGGACTACGGAAAAGCCACGCCCCGGACGCCGCAGGGAGCCAAGCGCCGAGGGAGGGGCGGCAGGAAACCAGGACCTGGCGCTCGGGGCAACGAGTACCTGGCGGCCGAACTGAGGACAACTGAGGGCACTCGCAGAGCAGGGCGGGAACGCTTCCAGCAATGGCGGCGGCTCGGTTTGGCCGGCCGCCAGCATGCCAGGACGCCTGCGCAAACGAGTCGTCGGAACTACAGCGCCCAGAGTCCTCAGCGCCTGGCCCTTTTTCTGCATATTTTTGAGAGAACTGGTTGTGTATATAGACAGTTTGGGCGACCTGAAAATTCAAATTGAATCACTAGGAACTAGCATCACAAAGAAGAATGACATTGCTGGGATCATTTCACAGTGACTAAAGAACTAAAACCCTTAAGAGAAGAGGCACGCCTTCTGTAACTTAGTTAAAACTCCAGATGCCTGCAGAGATGGCAGGTGCGTGTCCACCGGGTTGCTTGTCTTTCATTCAAATTCTTTACCCAAAAAATCGATAATGCCTTCATTAGAGTTGCTGAGTCTTTGAACCAGAGCTTCTTTTCTTGGCTCATCCAAATAATGTTAATATACCATGTAACTAATGTATTAATGAAGAGGAAATTTGTGGCATTTCATTAAAAACTAATCAGCTTTCTGCTTCTGTCAATATGCGTGTTTTCTGCAAATAAGCTTACTGCATGCAAGGGCTCCTGCAAAAGCTCCCTTGTACTTTGCTCGACTTGCAAATGTAACTATTTGCAAATGTAACTGTTTGTGCCTTTGCTCCATGAATGTAACTATTTGTACCTTAGCAGCTCCCACTTTCTGTAACAGTTTGTATCTGTCAGCAACCCGTGACAACTCGGGGCCTTACCAGTATTACTGCTAGTAGTCTGCATAGCAACCCCCCTTCATTTGTAAAGGTTTGAGTTCAAACTGACCAATTAGTTTGTGTAAAAATTCTGGTATATAAGCAATATTTCAACTGAGCCCACTGCCCAGATCTTCAGAGTACTATCTCATCTGGGACTACGTGTAATAAATTTGAATTCTCCTTCTCTCCGAGTTACTGCTTGGTTTTTCGTTGGACTGGGTTTTGGAGCTTTTTGGGATATTTTTCCACATTTTATTATACAATTAATAATATTGTTAATATGCAATGTTCATATATTTAACAATTATATAATTATAATTTTTTAAAGCATGTTTTCTTTTGCTTCATTTCCATGTCTTTAATGCCCAAAGGCTCTAGGGCAGCCTCCCTCAACCATGAGACTGTTCCCTCTCTAACCCTTCCTACTCTGTGTGCCTTGGATTCTCTGCTGCTTTGTGTATGAGGCCCACACAGGGTCAGTCTCCTTCAGATGGGGATCTGCAGGGAAATATAAAGCTCAGTGAAACTGAACACTGTGTAAAACTAGGCTCTTGAGATGTCAAAGAGTCAATAGATAACTTTGGCGAAAGTATGACATAACCCAGTGACCTTAGAACTATCAGAGGGGAAATGCAAGTGGGAAATAAAACTCCTGGAGATAACGTAATATATGTTATCTGAAATGAAAAATATACTGGATCGGATTAAGAGCAGATGAGTCACTGCAAAAGAAAAGAGTAGTGACATCAAAGACATACAAATAGAAACTGCCCAAAGTGAAACAGGGAGAAAAAACATGAAGAATAAACAGAGTACCAGTGAGTTATGGAACAATACAAAATAGCCTAACTATGTATAAGTAGCTTTCTAGAAGGAAAGGAGAGAGTGAGGGAGTAGAAAGATACTTGAACTAATGGCTAAATATTTTCAAAATTTGATGAAAATTATAAACCCACAGATCCAAGAGACTCAATGAAATGCAAAGAAAAGACATAGAGAAAACCACACCAAGGCACATCATAATCGAACTACTACAAACCAATAATAAAGGAAAAAATTAAAAACAGAGGAATGGGGACAATTTATGTATTGGGGAACAAAGAAAATTGCTTCTCATAGAAAAAAAAAAAAGTAAGCCAGAAGGCAATGGGACAACACTTTTAAAGTACTGAAAGAAAAAATACCCCATCAGCCTAGAAATTTATACCCATCAAAATATTTTAATAAATGGTAGTGGGTATCAATAAGATAAAAGTAAACACATTTTCCCTATACCTGCTACTAAGTACGGCTAAAACTGCTCAATATTACGTATAAAACAAATATAAGAAGACTGAAAGTTGGACAGAAGTCAGTTCAGTAGAGACCCTGCAACCTGAGGAAAGATATTGAGTTGCCTAAGTTTTCTTTTTTCCTTATTTACCCTGGGTAAATGGAGAAACTGGCCACCCAAAATGTCAATTGGTGCAGCTTTTTGAAAAGCTCCAAGAAAAGCCTGCTCTCTTCAGCCAAAGAGGCAGACTAGCACAACAGAAAACTTTAATAAAAATAACCACTCTATTACAGGCAAACACTACAGACAAAACTGGTCCCACCTCATCCCCATCAGCAAAGGCTGAGTAGGGAGCTTAGACTTCCACACTTATCTCATTATAATGAGGTGCCCCTCTGTCCCTGCAGAAGTGGCATCAGAGAAGGCTGTGTGGGAGCTGGGACTTTTAATTGCACCTGGTAATATTAAACCTCCCCATACACAATGTTAGTGGCAGCCCCATGGAAACAGTAATAGAATGCCTCTCCCTTCCTGACAAAGTGTTGTCAGTGGTGGTGGGGAGCCTGAAGTTCTACTCTTGCCCAGCTGTAACAAGAAATTGTTCTCCCCAGAGCTGTTAATAAAGGCTGAATAACTTGGACTGCATCACCATCAAACAAAAACCAAGTGGTGGTGACCTTCCTTCTCTCACCAGAGTGATATCAGAGAAGGCTTGCTAAAACATAAGATTTAAATAAAAATCCAAAGTAACATAATTCTCAAAGTGTCTCCAAATTTGGCAAATTACATAAATCTGCAAATTCAAGAAGTGAAGAAAATGCCAAGCAGCATAAACACAAAGAAATCCAGATTAAGACATAATAAACTCCTGAGAACTAAAGACAAATAATAATTCTGGAAGCAGAAAGAAAGGACACCATAAAAGTAACAGAAGAACAATCAAATGACAGCAGATTTCTCATCAGAAACCATGGAGGCCAGAAGGACAACATTTTTCAAGTACTGAAAGACGGTCAACTGAGATTATGAGTGCAGCAAAAATTCTTCCCACCATGTTTCTGCCCTTGTACTGTAAAGATACATTGGAACAAGAACATACATTGCTTGATATAAATCGTGCTAAAATTCTTCCTGGAGATGAACCAAAAACTATTTGATGATAACACTCAATAATTAAAAGCAGCAAAACTGGAAGAGAAGCTAAAAGTGAAAAAATAAGAAGCGGCATGGGTTAAAATAGATGATCTAGCAAAAACTCCAAAATACCCAGTATGCAATGTATAAGTCAACCAAGTGCCTTCTGGTTGCAGTGGCGACAGACGGGTCTTTATCTGAAGATGTATGGATGCTAAGACAGTATTTTAAGAGATTTGTTGGGCTCAGAAGGTAGAACCCTTCCTTCGAGCTAGCTCAAAATATCTATAACCAAGAAAACCCTGGATGCTTACTGCAGAGATGATGAGCTGGTTTCCTGGGATGGATACAAGCCTTTCGCAGTGGAATGTGTTAGAGCACGGAATGTGTTAGATGCATTCTTTTCTGGATTCTGTAGAAATATATACTTTTTGTGCAGTGCAAATTAGTTGCACTCAAAAGTCAAAGCTTTCTCCAACTCAGTTCCGTAGGAATACCAAATTTCTGCATTAGCTCAAGATTAGGTGTACAAACAATAAATAGTGAATTATCAGATTCCATTTTCAAAATATTTCATCACATTTGTCAGGTACTAGTGTCATCACAACCCCAGTATATTCTTATGGAATAATATTTCACATAATCAGAGCTACAGAAAAGCAATCTGGTCTTCATCTTCATGTTCTACCAAAATAGAACTTTTGACCATTTAAAATGGATAATTCTATGATAATAATGCCAATATTTTTCATGTCAAAGGCATATTTTAAAAAGTTTTAGATATTTAAGACTTTATAGCCTTAAAATTGTTTCCACGTGATTGTTACAAGCATTTTAAAAATAATCTTATAGAAATTGTTCTTTGCTTTCATGTTCTAGCACAACTCACTAGAAAAAGTGACCTGGCAGACCTCAAACACTTATCTTCAGGAGTATTTCTTTACTTCAGTCAATGACATGTATACTATGTCCTACTTCTTTTGTGCTGCCCAAATACTTCCAAGTCTTTTGTATAGCTCTATGATTCCAGGAGCGAGGTAGTGAGAGAAATGTATTTTAAAAAGATCTTTCTCTACTTTAACTGAAATTGGAACTTAAAAATTGTTTTTTATATTTCTATTTGTAGATTTTTAAAAACTTAGGCATTGTTGTCCTTTAAGAAGACACTTGAACATAATAAAAAATCTCTCAAAATTCCATATTTTTGTAGAAAGTTAGAACGAGATCATTTTAAGTTAAATGAGTTCTTGGCCTAATGTAAACTGCTGTTGCCTTTAGGCATAATTTAAAAAATATATATTGTATGTGCTGGCATTACCATGCTGTTCAGTCACTGACTTAATATGGTTCAAAGAGATGAGAAGAAGCAATAGTGAGGATGATTTTAAATGAATCCTTTTCTTATTTAAGTACACATTATAAACACCATACTGTAAGTGAAATACAGTATCCACGTTTTCATTGATCTTTATTTTTATTTATTTATTTATTTATTTATCTATCTATTTATTTATTTATTTTTAATTAAGTTTACTGGGGTAACATTGGTAAAATTATATAATACGATTATATAATCTTCAAATGTACATTATCATTAGACATCTGTATATTCTATTGTGTGTTTACCACCTAAAGTCCAGTTTCCTCAGCTACTATATATTTGATCCCCTTTACTCACTTCACCCTCCCCCTAAACCCTATATTTGAACCCCTTTACCTTGTCTACCTCCCCCTCTTCCTCCACCCCAATAGTAACCACTAGTCTATAGTCCTCTGGTAACCACTAGTCTATATTCCATGCCCATGAGTCTCTGTTCGTTTGTCCTGCTCATTTGTTGCTTCTCACATATAAGTGAATTCATG